CATGTAAACTCGCTGCTTCTGTCGCGCCAGCTACGTCCAGTGTGAACGCAGCATTAGTCATTCACTGCTAAGCTCAAAACAACCACGCCTGGCTTGACGGAGAAACCAGGAGAACAGCTGTGCATATTTACGACAGTGCACTTTTACTTTCGCCCTCTGGGGGGAGCCTCGCTGGAAAATCAACACCGGTTGCATAGTGTACCTTTAAAGGGGGATTTCTGGCCTGGCTGAATAGACGAGGTCCTTCGCTCTCCTGTACAGAGGCTGTAGTGATAACGGGAAGGGATTAACTCAATTGCTGCATTGTAGGTTTTTGAAAGCTAAAATCTGAGTCCGCCCCCTTTCAGAGAGTTAGGCTCTGTTCACACTGCAGACTGAAGTGACCCAAATCCGTTTTTTTTGCCCATATGCGACTTGAATCTGATCTTTTCATGACAGTCTGAACAACACAGATCTGACTTTTTCCAATGCGACCCAAGACACTTGGCTATGTGGTCCTGAAACCCATACGAATCTGACCTTTTCAAATGCGACCTGTGTCTGAACGGCCAGGTTGCATTCATCCGAGCTGAGCGCCATTAATACCGGACAAAGGTCACTATTATGCGTCTTGCTATGCAGAAGCGGCAAGAAAAACAACAACCTTTGCAGATGATGATGCGGAGAACAGTATATATGTTTAACCATGTGAAAAAATTGTGTTTTTATGGTTGGAAAAGACAGCTAAATACGCGTCGGTGCTTACATCCATGTTTACTTCCGGAAAAAAAAGAGCATGCTGGCCTGTGACGTCATTGCGTTCTCTACTGCGCATGCGGGACACTTGCGTTGTATGACTGCAGTTCACACAGGAGATCACATACAAGTCGCATATATTCTGAAATATGAACGGGAACGCAAAAAAAATTTCGCAAAAACATCGGAATTGAGCATCAAGGCCTGCAGTGTGAACGTAGCCATAGACAGGTATCTGACCTCTGACCTTAAATTGTTTTTTTTTTTCTGCATGACTAAAGGGACACCCGCCCGTTGAGGTAGTTTAAAGTCTATTTTCGTACAAAACTAAAGGGATAACCGCAAATCTGAGAGCTTGTGCATGCATATATGTTATAGGTCTGCTGATCTTACAGAACACCCCCCGATGTATGGGATTATCTCCGCTTAAAAAACAAGTAAACAAACTTAAAGCTGCAGGTTAATCCTTCCAAGCTTAAAATATCCAACCTGATTTCAAAAATAAAACATTAAAGATTTTTTACCAGAAATTGGCAACGAGGACTGAATTTTAATCAATACGTTTCATTATAATAGAAAATAAAGAGTTTAAATATCATCAATTTTGTTTTAGTTGGAGGTTTGACTTCAAATTAAGGCTTAATATCAATTCAAACTTCAATATTATTTTTGATCCAATCTGATCTCTAACTGGACTCTTTAGCTGACTGACTGTAAAATATTGAGACAAGCGTTCAACAACAAACAAATAAAGCTAGTCGTTTTTGAATCGGCTGTGAGGACAGCAGATATTTTGTTTTGTTTTTAAATCAATCCTTGATTTGTTGGACAAACCTTTATAAAAAAAAATATGAGAATCGATTTAGATTCCTTTATTAACAGGCCTGCTTCAAAATGAAAATATGAATTGGATAAAACGATTATTGAAATAACTGTCTACTAATTTAGCAATCGATTATTCGTTCGCTTGTGAATAAAATCTTCTTTAAGGAACATTTTGCTCTCTGATTATTAACGGATTAATAAAAAAAAAAAATAGACTGAATAATCCACAAGCAAATGCTCTTGGAAATAAAACGTATCTAATGACTAACCCGATTACTTTACTTCCAGATTTATTTAACCTTTTTTAATGGAGCCAACAGCGGGGAAACAAAAGCCTAAACAAAATGACCAAACCAACATTTTGTTGGGGAAAAAAAATCCTCTTTTCAATTTTTTGTCTCAATAAACCCCAAATTCCTTAGAAAATCTTATCAAAATAAAATACATTTTAAAACAGGGCAAATCAATGGATCAATATTCAACAAACAGCTCATGCTAATGTGCTAGCCTATCTGCTTATTCATCTCCATTAAAGAGCCACGATGGCTGGTTAGAGTGAAGCAGTGATTCAGAGGGTTTGATGGTTAAATGTGGAGATGACTCAGCTCTAATAACACTGTAATAACCATGAAGGAGCCGAGTATCTGGGAGAAATCTGTAATATGACCCCATGACAGGCAGCATTCCTCAGAGGGATGAGCAGAGCGTCGATACTTTCCTTCCTCCATGTGAAGAGGAGGAAGCTGCTTCAAGTCCTCTCAGCCATAACAGCAGGAGATCAAGCTAAAAGGCTGCAGCTCAGTGAGAATAGAAATCCTTTAAGATGTTTTTATCATTATAAAAACTATTCTATCGATATCTTTTTAGAAGAAGAAAGGCGACATTCAGAGGGAGCCCAGAAAAAAGAAGACTGTGTTTTTGTGGATTTTATCAGAGAGAAACTGATTATTCATTAAAACGATGATTGTTCTTCCTCGGCTCAACGAGCGATAAGACAGCAAACACACATTCAGTACTTACGGGAACGATGAGGCCCTGCCAGGTCAAAATATTCGACTCATCCACCTGAATGTTCCGGAAATGCTTCATTCCAGATTTGCGCATGTCATCCAGCTCCTGCAATGAAACGCAAACACGTTTAACAAACTGTGGGGAACCTGAGTGGAGCCAAAGAGGGGGATTCTGAACTGGAGCAAAGTCCAACCACGGCTAAGATCTAAAAACTCCCTCTGTTCTGTAATACTAATAATACAAACAGCTCCTTTTTTTTCCATGAAAACCTTATTTATAAAGATACAAAAATATAAATCCTACCTGATACCTTATAGAACATTTTTTACAATTTTAAATTAAAGCAGGTAAAACTAAAACGTTTCCACTTGAGGAGTTCTGGATAGATCGTATTGACAGTCATTTTTTTATTATCTTAAATGCAACATTTGTCAATGATTATTTCAATAATTGATTAATCCGAATTATTGTTTCAGCCCTAATATATATATATAGATTAATATATATTATATACTGGCAGAAGGGTGATTTTTCTTTTACAGTAGGAACTATTTAGTGTAGTAAAACCAGGTCAGTGACACTTAGCATGCTATAGGGAAGAGTATTTAACCCGTTCTTCAGATGAATAACCAGTTGGTTATGCCTTAAGGGGAATTTTTATTGGATTAAGTGAAGACAAGGGTAAGACGGCACTGAATAAAAGGCCTCTAGGTCCTTAAACTTATGACAGGATTACTTTGTATTATATCTGAGTTTTTCTAGAGGAGCGAACGATGGAGATTTGTCCGTCTTCTAATGACAGAGAAAAGGTCTTCCTGTTTGAGACAATCCAATGGAGGCAGGGTTAAGGTGGCGTCTGATCCAGGTGGGATCAACCCTGGAAGGTTTTTGCCTCGTGGAATAAAAGCGATGCCAGAGTTTAAATGAAGTCCAACTTGTCGGGAAACGGCAGGAAGACATCTTTAATTCTTTTATAAGCTTCTTTTATAGCTGGAGGCATCTAAGAAACAGTGATCATGGTCAAATCCTCCTGTTCAGAGGTTCAGTCACCTCTTTAGTATGATTTTATACATCATACTATTGAAACACAGAGTGATGGCTCTATCAGAAGGGCGACATTGGTGTCAGGTGCAGGAGTTTGCCCACCGATCGGAGGGTTGTCGGTTCAAACATGGGCTCCAGCTTTCAGTGTTGTTGTGTCCTTGGGTGGCTGTACGGCAGCCTCGCTTCTGTCACCCCCAGATTCCACGTACTCCGTCAGCGCTCCACTCACGTACGTCTACTTGTCTGTCGTGTTAATCAATGAGAGCTGTTCCACATCCACCGCTACTCCTCTGCACGTCACTGTCCACGTACATCTTCCCCGTCCGTCACCGTCAAAATACGGAGGTGAGCAATTTTTGCTCTGCAGGATGTGGGATTTCGGGGTCAGTGAGCCCCAAGGCAGCTGTGGCTACAATGTAATTTGCCACCATTAGTGTATGAGTGAATGACTGTATGTAGTTTAAAGTGCTTTGGTCAAGTCTTCTGACTTGAAAAAAAAAGAACTATATAAGTACAGGTCATTTTATTTACTTACCATCTATTTTTTATAAAATATTTACCATTTATTTTTTATAAAGTATGATAGTTTATTTTTAGTTAACTTTTAGTTATAATTATTATAGAACAGCTCATTTCTATTGATATTGGTTCTGCTTCCTGTTTGGAGCAGCTTCATCATCCCTCTTTCATCCGCAATACCGATATTGTAGCTTTAAAGCTACAGTGTGTAATTTTCAGCGACATCTAACGTCCAGACTGCAGACCTCAGCAACATGAACATCTCCCCCCCAACAGTACGGCGAGCGTTACGGGACAAAATGTCTTCCACGACGTCCGCATCACCTACCTTCTCAAGTGATGAGGTTTGTTTACATAG